AAATCTCTTTCAAGGGGAAGGAGCAGATGCAGACGAGGTCAGACATGGATGAACTGCAGAAGAAGATCCAGTCAGGAGATGGCAGGACCGGTTGCATGTTTCCCAGAAAAGAGTCATAATAGTATTTGTTTTTGTTTTGGTATTATATTGTATTGCCCACTTACAGGGACATCCTGATTGTGAAGCAGACCGCTGATTCACATTGAGGTCCACCATGCTGGAACTTTTGATTTCAACTGCTGAAATGAATTAAATCTTTTAAAAGGTAGTCATTGTCCTGTACTTCCCAAGAGAAAGAAAAAACAAAGAACACTAACAGAGGTCAGGTTGCCCAGGTGTTTGGCCTGGTTTATCAGAGCTCCTGAGGGCAGCTGTGGATCATCCAGCAGGGGGCAGTCTTGTAGCTATTGGAATATTAATGTGAGTGAATGTTAGATAACCAGCATTTATATAGAAATAAAAGCTTAGAAAAAGTGCGTGTGTGAATGGGTGAATTAGGCAAGTTGTCCAGGTGTCTTCCCTGCTCACCCTGATACGAAGAAACCTGAGTAGTCTCGCGGGTCAAATCGCATCAGTCACACCTGGCAGCTCCCCTGTTGATCATGGCACTTGGTTTTTTATCTGACTTGGTTTCAGAGGCTGGACAGCAGGCCATCAAAGATAGATATTACTTGGAAACGCTAAAGCAACTTATTTGGATTAAAATAGATTAATATTCATATATATAATGTTTCATAAAAGGTTAAAAAATGAATGTTCATTATTTAGACTTTTTTGTCTAGAAGATTGTATTAAAGCAACTTAGAGAAAAACAAAAGCAAAACTGATTTTAGAAAAGAATGACATAATCACATCAATTCTACTTATTTATTTAATCCACTATTTAATCTCCACTCTTTTGAGGGAGAGAGATTGGTGGTGATATGGAGAAAATGTTTTCTACCTCAGTGCTCTGTGGAAATAATCTGGAAAGCAGGATTCCTTGATAGATCGCACATCTTCTCAAACTTATACTTTTGCTTTTCCACAGGGAAAACCTTCAAAATATCCCCTCTGGATTGTGACAAATTAATGTTCAGATTTTTACCCTTACTGTTTCATAAATGGTTGAGAGAAAATAAGAATTTTTTTTCACAAATGAAATTTTAATTGCAGCAATTTTTTTAAAGCAATGTAGCAGGACAAAAGCAAAAGAAGAATGAAACGATAATAAGAATCAAATAATAATCAAATCACTTCAATTACAATTGTCTAACTAATCTACTTTGAGCTAATGCTGACTCTGTTCTTATCTTTAAGAGGTGAGAGGTTGGAGAGGAGACGGGCACATCAGCCCTGAAGATCTGTTTATGGCAGTGCTCTAATGAAAATAATCCATTATTAAAGCATTAGATTTCTTCTGAAATAATTTATCATATCTGAGACTGTAATAGTCACATTTATATGATTATCAAACAGTCAGAGCAAAAACAGTACATAAACAGCACGATGTTTTGTTCAAATGTTTTCGCTTAACATCTCCTCACCTTTTTTCATTGCCCTTTTTATAAGTTAGCAGTTAGTTACTGTCACAATCAAAGAGAACTATGGGTCCTAATAAACTGCTTCCACAAAAAGCCAGGACAGTGTCTATAGTTTTTAAAGGGATGCATTCAAGAAACTACAATGTATGAAAACTTAAAGATGAACACTTCAGGGACCTCTAATTAAAAGAATTCCTGAAAAACTACAACCACAGCTGAACAAAAGTTATTGGTGGAACTTTTGTAATCACTATATTCTGAAATTGTCATGGTCTTGGGCCATGTTGGCCCAGTATTCTTAGTTTTCTTGTATGTTTGTATTTTGTTCCCTATTTAGGCCATGTTTCCTGAGTTGCCCTGTTGTGTTGTTCCCTAAGTGTTTTCCCTTCGTGGCTTTTACCCCCTGTGTGCCCCTCTGTGTATCTGTGAGCCCTCGTCTCCCTTTGTGGTTGTTCCATGTTTCCCCAGCCCATTATGTCTGTGTTTTCCCCGTGCTCTCTCTCCTCCTGTCTGAACCTCTGTACTTCCTGTTTGACTCTGCCGTCTCCCGTCAGTGTTATGTTCACCCCGCCCTGTCTCGTTATGGTTATCTGTGTCAGCTGTGTTCCCCGTGTGTTCCCACTTTCCTCGTTAACCCTCTGTGTATTTCTGTCTGCGTCTCCCTCTGTTCGGCGTCGCGCTCCAGTTTATTGGCAACAGCAAGCGCTGGCATGGATCCATCTAGCAACAACACAGCATTAATGCCATCCCCGCAGACAGAGCTGCCAGGAATGCAGAAGAACATCATATTAAGAAGGCCCTGAGTAAATGTGGTTATCCCTGCTGGACATTTGTAAAAGATGTGAAAACACCTAAAGAAAGCTCCAGACGATCCAGGAGAGAACGACAACCGCAGCCTAAGTGAAACCCTGCAGTGATCCCGTATGTGCCAGGAATATTGGAACAGTTGGATCTGTGTGGATTTCAAACCAATCAAATTCAATCAAATTGAATATAGTGAATATTTAAAAGTTAGAAAGAGACAAGCACAAAAGGCCAAAAGAAGAGCAATCTTATTGAATATTGAATATTGATTTATTGATTAGCATTCAAACATCTCAGTGAATATTCACTGAGATATTTGAAGATGAATCT